TACTATATTTTCAGAGTTCAATGGAGGGCTATATTTCACATTTGGAGGAGAATATTGAGGCTGTAAAATAGAATGGAAGGCCATATTATGCATAATATGAATGAGGCAAAATTAGAGAAGGCAGTTTGGAGGGTTTCTGTTTCTTAACTATCTTATGCTTATATTAGGGTTTACATTATCATTGTTGCGTATTTCTCACCTCAAAATGACAGAAAACAATGTTACTCATTTTCAGTCAGAAGAAGGTCTTAAGGCCACAAAAATGGGACTTAAATAGAAATGACTACTTTATTTAGAAGATTCATGAGAACAGATAAAGCAGACATTCAAATACTCCTGCCAGAAAGGCAGAACAGATTTCTGAATCCAGACAGCTCTTAATGGATTCTTTGTGGGCTAGATCTTATCATTTTCTTTTGCTCTCTTTCATCACAGAGACTCTCAAGTGACCTCAGACAAAACATGAAGCCAAAGTTCACTATCTTACAGAGATCAAGAAGTCAGTGCCGTTAAATCAAAGGTTAGGTGTGTGCAGTGATAGTAGTCACTTGGGGATGTGAAATTCTAAGCTTAGATTGGACCTCTCTGTCCAGAAGAGTGCATGCTATGAACAGTGAAGATCTTGCACGGAACCCTCCAATCCTAGGCCTATGGTGAATACTCAAGACTTAGGAAAACCCATGCCACCAATAGGAATGAGAAAAGAATTATTGTTTATTTTGTTATTTATCCTTCCATCCATCCATCTATCTATCTCATTGCAGTGTTAGCTATCTGAGTTAATCTGGGAAGTGATTTTCTGCTATAGATAAAATGGAAACATTATTACCATTGTACAGCATTAACATTTCAAAAATCAATAGCACATTTTATGATATTTCAAATAGGGCTCTTCAAAATTCCTGCTGATACTGTAATCTTGGTTGGTGCTTTTGTGATGTAGAAGTATGTAAACCTGAAGGCTATTACTTTCCTGTCTGGGTTGTTATGTGATGTGAATTAGACTGACATGATTTTAGGGCTTCTTAAACTAGAAAAGCAGGATAGATATATTTAAAATAAATAATCTTGGTTTTTGTAACTTGACACCCTCCACCCACTGGCAAATCCCTCCAAAGATTTCTGGAAGTTGTGATGCTGACACATCTGGAGAAGCATTCAACTGGAGAAGACTATTATATAGCACCTTATATTAATCAACCTTAAATAATACATTGTTATTTAAACCCACCATAATGTAGGAGTTAGAATGTTAGATAAGAATTAGAGTTTTAAATATCTTATTATTTTATATATAATTATAACACACGCTTTTTTAATCTGCGCAATTTCCAAAGTGTTCTCACACATCTAATCAACTTTCCATTAAAAAACCCTAATACTCAAAAATCAACAGCATCATAAGCTAAAGACTGGCTATTCTAAAAAGTACAAATCTAAATCAATCTTTATGAAAAACAGAAAGGACAAATGAATCATTTCTGTCACGAGATTTCAGAATCTAAGCCAGATTTCTTGAACCTGGTGTCCTCCAGATGTGTGTAAATACTGCCAGAAGTAACAGCCAGGATGCCTGTGGAGGAAACAGTTGTTCGTCATTCTGGCCTGTGATGTCTATTCCCTTCCCCAAGAAGCATGTGAGGACTGGAATAACTTTCCTCAGAGATTCACCCCTGTCCTATCTTGACCAAGAACTTAAGAGGGATGTGCTCTTGAGATGGACCCAAATTTTTAGGCACTCAGTTTGAATTACCTGAAGCCAGGGATTCTTGGACTCTTTTTTCTTCTACTGAAAAACTGCACATCAGCAAAAAAAAACAAACCCAAAAAACTGTATTTCCTGCTCACCTCAGATAGAGGCACAGTTCAGGTTTTCATCCTGACCTTAACAATGACATCTGACTATCCAGAAGGGGGCCTGGGATAGGATCAGTTCTGTTCCCTTTTCCTGATTCTGTATATGGTTCCAAGTGAAAAACATCTCTTGCAGATTTTAAGGGTTTGAAGTATTGTGAAATTGAATTTTAAAAAAAAAACAGAAAGCAAAGAATCCAATTATCTGATTCAGAATAAAATATGCTCGACTCTTTACATAGCCTTTAGCATGTCTAGTTTTTCCTGTATATTTTACTTCCGAAATAGCTGATACAGCCCACATTCAGTAACTACAAATGCTTTTTTAAAATAAAGCAAGCGTAGTGCCCAGTCCAGCTTGGCATAGTAGCAGACAAAGGATTAAAGACCCCTTGCCTTGCATTAGGATTTTGAGCCAGATAGAGAAATAATCTTCGTGTTATGTGCCGTGTTTCAATCATATTAATTAAAAGCATCCCCTCAGGTATTATTTGCTCCAGGAAAAAAACTGCCACTGTTAACTAATACTAATGTTAGCTGTTATCCTGGAATAAACAGGAATTTGGAAGAGGGAGCAGTATTATTAATGAGGCCACATGTGGAAAGAATAATTTAAACAAATACTTTTTGTATCATGATCTCGGTTTTGATATTTCTCTTTCTTGCTACTTCTTTTAAAGAAATAAGCCATGGGAACTATAGTCACACATTTCATTTACTTTGGCTCCCATCCATCTGTATTCACTTGGAAAGGGGAGAGTTATAAGAGCAGGATACTGGGAATACTGGATGGCTGTGATATTAAGGGGCCCTCTATATAGAACAATTAATTCATTATTAATATATCTTTCTGGTGTACACTCACTTTCCATTCATATGTAATTCTATCATTCTGCGGGTATTCTAAAAGAGGTTGATGAAAAAGATAATTTATTGTGACATTTTTCTCTTTTGCCAATGATTAGAGTTATAACATTGGATATAGCCATAAAGTGGTGAACCCTAGTTTATTAAATAATGCACAACTGACTGTATTTTTTCAACATAGCAAATTATAAATCAAGGGTTACAGATTTCTACATATTGAACCAAGATCAAATAAAACACATTATTATAGTAACAGATCTGTGAAAATGATTGCTGTCTAGGCTAGAAAATACAACAGATTCTGACTACAATGGAGTTTTTTTTTTACTTGACATCTCTCTCTCAATGGCATTGGTAAGCTTTTCAATGGGCCATTGTATCACTAAGGTATCACTGTTTTTCTAGTAGCCTAATTGCGTGCAAACAAAGAGGAAGTGAAATGTAGATGCGGTTATTCCGATTCATGCACCAGAACACTGCTTAACAGGTTAAGTTGGCTACATCCTCTTTCTCCCACTGCAATCTTATACACTGTACTATTAACTCATAATTCAATCTTTACATTTACTCTCATGCTTATTATATCATATAGAAATTATCTTCAGGTTATGCTGCTTTATTCATTTATGAAATCCCTATGCTATCATAATAAGCCACGTGAGCTGGCCAGAAGACAAAAAGAAGAAAATTTCCACCACACCATGTCCTCTGCAAAACTTTCTAGGGAACAACTTGGAAACTAATGGAAGATAACGATATGAATGTCTACCAATCAGTTAGAGCGGAGACCTAGGACTAGGAAGATCCAGGTCCAAGTCCATTCTTAAGTTATTTAAAGGTAACTACCAGTAGTAACTTTGGAATCAATTATTATCAAGGGTCAGAATCAAAAGAGATCACCATTAAAAAATGCCTTGACCTTAGGAGGAAGGGCAGGACACACACCTAAGAAATAAATAAGCAATACTGATCTACATTCCTTCTGTCCTATGTGTGGACTTCCTGCACAGCAGCTGTTGGCTTCTGTGCATGGAAAGGAGAAGGCCCTTGTCCTTTTAATTGCCTCAGGCAGTAAAATGTTTGGGAAAGCCAGTTTCAAATCTAAAACTCAAACTGCTGGCAAAAGTAAGGGCAGTCGAAGTGGACGAAAATTCCTTTTATCCCCAACACACCTGCTGGACCGCAGTTTGGAGAAGATAAAAAGGTAAACACAGCATTGTTCCTGAATGGAAACCCCCCCCCCCAAAAAAAAAAAAAAATTCACTGTTTGACCATGGTTGATTGGCAAGCAAGAAACGACCCAATACAGAGCACAGGCTTTGGAACTCCCCAGACTTTTCCTATCGCCTCATTCCACGAAGTAATGTTTGGCGCTTCAGCTCAGGTGGGGGAAAAATAGCGGAACGTGAAGAAGCTGATCCGGAGCAGTATTGAAAATGAGTCGCCCCTCTGCCCGGCCTTGCAAACACACCAACCAACCAACTCTGTACTGCCTGGAAAAGACGGCAACAATTTTGTTCTTGAGAGTCACGCGCGGGTTAGAAAAAGGCAGCGACAACTTTGAAAGCCGGCTGCCCTCGTCCACTCTCGACACACACACACACACACACACACACACACACACACACACACCCTCGTCCACTCTCGACACACACACACACACACACACACACACACACACACACACACACACGACCACTCCCTCCCTCTCCCCCGCTCTCGCTATTCTCTCACAGACCGGCCGCTCCGCCGGCCAGAGACGGCAGGAAAAGCGACGGCGTGTTGCGGCTCGTCTCGTTTCAGCCACGAGGAGCTGTAAAAAAAAAAAAGGCTGATTAATTCACCCTGCCTGGCCAGGAGGACAGATCCGCGGGAGCAGAAGATGCCCCAAGGACACTCCAGGGGCCGCTCCACGCCCCTTCCCGAGAGCCGCAACCTTTCAACGCCGCCCCACCTACGGGACTTTCCTCCGCGGGAGCCAGACGGCAGGCAGACCCTCTCCGAGCCCTTCCCGAAAAGGCTTCCCTCTGAACTCCCTAAGCCGCCCACAGTCTCGGACAGGAGGGGCGGCGCGGGGGAGGGAAGACACCGCTCGAAGGGCTCCCCGGGAACTCGGCGGGTCGTAAAATCCTTGAGAGCAGCGCCGCCAACCCCTCTCCGAGAAGGCCGTCCCGCGGCTCTGCCCCCTCGGTCACCGGGCGAGTCCCGCTCCGGAGGTAGCGAAGTGGCTGCTATTCCAGCCGCCCATTGGTTGCTGGGCGCCTGACGCGCGGGCCACGGGGAGGTGTCCTGGACGCCGGAGCCCGCCGGAGGAGCGCTCGCAAACATGCTGCAGCCTCTAAGCAAGTCGGTCGCCCTTCCGACGGCGCTGGCGTGGAGAAGGACCCGCTTCGCCTTCATGCCTCCAGCCTGGATGCCCTAAGCTGACCCCTTTGCCTCGCTGCACAGCCATGGGAGAAGGATGGCGCTTCTTAGAGGATCGCCCTCCCAACCGAACGAACTTGACGGCTCAGGCTGGCCTGAGACCCCTCAACACCTCAGCAGACTTGGATCTACCTGGCAGCTGGAAAACGGAGGAGTTGTCCCAGCAGTGGATGGTGGGCATGAGCCTCCTGATGTCTTTGATGGTGACCTTCATTGTAGTGGGCAACGGTCTGGTGATTGCGGCCATTGGGAGGACCCAGCGGCTGCAAACCCTCACGAACGTCTTCATCACCTCTCTGGCTTGTGCTGACTTGGTGATGGGCTCTGTGGTGGTGTCCTTTGGTGCCACCCTAGTAGTGCAAGGCTCTTGGCTCTGGGGCTCCTTCCTGTGTGAATGCTGGATTTCAGTGGACGTCTTGTGTGTGACAGCAAGCATAGAGACCTTGTGCGTCATTGCAATTGACCGTTATTTGGCCATTACTTCGCCCTTCCGCTACCAGAGCCTCATGACCAAGAGACGTGCCAAGATCATCGTCTGTGTTGTCTGGGCCATTTCTGCCTTGGTGTCCTTCTTGCCCATCATGATGCATTGGTGGAGAGATACAGGGCTTGAGGCTAAGCACTGCTACGATAACCCCAGCTGCTGTGACTTTGTCACCAACAGGGCATATGCTATTGCATCCTCCGTCATCTCCTTCTACATCCCTCTTTTTGTTATGATTTTTGTCTACATTAGAGTCTACAGAGAAGCCAAGGAGCAGATGAAGAAGATTGATAGGTCTGAGGGCAGGTTCTACAATAATCACCAGCAGCAACACCAGCCTCCAGTCCACCAGCACCTGCCTATCTTGGGTAATGGCCAAACAAATAGGAGAAAAACATCCCGGATTCTAGCTATAAGGGAACAAAAAGCTCTTAAAACTTTGGGCATCATCATGGGGGTTTTTACTCTCTGTTGGCTACCGTTTTTCCTGGTCAATATAGTCAAAGTCTTTAATAGAGGTCTTGTACCAGACCAGCTCTTTGTATTCTTCAACTGGTTGGGCTATGCCAACTCTGCCTTCAATCCCATCATTTACTGCAGGAGCCCTGATTTTCGTAAGGCCTTCAAAAGGATGTTGTGCTGTCCTAGAAAAGCAGATCGGAGGTTGCATGCCAGCACTGGAGAGCTCTCTCATTATCCTGGAGGTTTCATCAGTACCCTGGGAAATACAGCTCCATGCACTCTTGGAGGGACGTGGTCTGATTACAATGGTGGTATGCAGAATGGAAGTGACTCCAGCTTGGAGGAAGGGAACAGTAAAATCTCCTATTCAGAGTCCAAGGTATAAAGGGCATGTGGTGAGTGGGATAAAAGAAATGGGAGGATATGCTGTATATTAGGAAGCAAGAAAGGAAGCCAAAACAAGATAGGAGAGGGAGGGAAACCCTTAAAGGAACACATTGGGAGTCTGGCTAATACTCAAAACTCCAGACTGACTTTTCTCAGTTGGAAGAAGATATTATTTACCTGAAGCACAAAGCAGGTGAACTTGTATACAGAATACCTCTTATCCAAATGGAAGGAAACAGAAGAGTGACTGACCACTGGGGAAAAAGAAAAAGAAAACTATTCATTTTCCAAGTCATTCAGCATTTGGATTATTATTTTTGGATTGTATGCTGCAAAGGTGGCAGTGGGGAGGTTAGGTAAGTAGGGCGTGGTATGCCAGGAAAGGAACAAAAGCAAGTCGCAAGGAATTGGTCAAAAAAATGTTTCAGGAAAAGTTGGATTTCTAGCAAGGGTTCAGCCAAACTATAATGGAAAAGCAAGGCAGGGCACTTCTGATAACTGAAGGAAATAGGAAGAAGCCCTTGGCTGACAGTTTAATTTTAGAGCTAAAGATAAACGCCCTTAGTTGTTTTTACTATTATCCTGTGTGTCAGTAGCACAAGCAGCCTTTATTTTTTTTTTGTTTGCTTTTAATTTATTCAATCCTTGAAAGGAAAAGAAGAAGTGCTGGCCACCTGTTTATCTTTCCTGAGATCATGTGAATTTCAGGCAGGAAACAACTTTAGAAACCATGCTTAAAGACTCTTTGGAATAAGCCATTGAAATATTTTCTAATGAGTTTTATTACACAGTCTGATCACCCAATGCATGTTTAGTCGGAAGCGAGTTTGATAAAACTTGTTCCTGTATACAGTTGAGTGCTCATTAGCTTGTAGCCTTGAAAACCTACATGCTCCTTAATATCCAAGAAGATCCATCAAAAGCACGGCTAATGGAGAGTATTTTGTTTTGATCCAATTTCTCTTGGGTTTGATCCTTTCGCCCAGTGATGTCAGGGGTGAGGGATATTACTTTTCTTATCATATGAGACATCAGCAGTAAGGCTATAAAACATCTACCTCAAGCTGTGCATATTGTACAGGGAAAATGTGTTTATATTAAACAGCTTATTTATGTATTATTGCTAGTTAAGGGTTTTTTTCTTTTTTAATAAAAATAGAGTCAGGAGTATCTCAATAGACAAATTGTTCACACTGAAAAATGGAAGAGAAAATTTGGCTACAAGCACCAGATATATGACTGCACATTTGAAAAGAATGAGAAATGCTTTTCCCCCTTTTGCACAGTATTAACAAAGTTCTCTCTGTAAGTCTTTCTCTCTTACGCACACACACAAACACACACATTCTTATAGAAAAACCCACTGGAAAACAAAGTAGATTCCAACTTGATTTCTACTGCTGGCTAATGGTTATTTTTTTAAAGCAATTTTATGTGATTTAATGGAGGTACTGTAAGTATGTTCATACCCAAGAGTTTCTATTAGTAACTTCTCTAACTCCCAGAAAATTATATGAACGTTTTGTGAATTTAATGCTTCATTGTCTTTCTCCGTTTTTACTTCTGTGCGTTTGTGTATCTGTGTGTCTGTGTATGCGAGGGACTATTTGCACATGCATTTTATATTGTATTTATATTCTTTGGGTGCCGTTTACTACTGTATGTCATTGGTCTACGTGCAATAAAAACACTGCAGCACAAGCAAGTGTATTTACAATGTGTCTTTAAAAGTGCAGGAATTATATTCATTTTTGATTAAAAACAGTGACTGTTTTTCTGGAAATATAGATCATGTTACCAATACGGTTGAACTTAATGGCTTTTCCTGACATAATTGTCTTTAAAAAAATAAGCTTGCTGTACCAAATAAGGCAGCATTCCAGTTACACTGAAGACTGTTGACTTCTCCTGAAATTCCAGGGCTAAAAGCAAATCATTTCCAGCTTGCCTATAATTAAATTTAGCTACTTTTTATAGGTTCTTTTTATCAATTTAATTTAGTCTGATAATAAGAAAAACTGGATGAAATGGCTGGAGATGATGCATAAACAGTGTGGATTTCATTTGAGAACTATTAGGAAAGAGAGATTAACTGTGCTTTGAGATGCACAAGCCATACATTGTTTGTGTACAATAAATCATACAGATGTCTAGTGATATACTTGAGCTACATGATAATCCATAATACCGTAAGATTTTAAATAAGTCCAGAATAAAGGGACTTTTCTAACTGCTTTACTGCAGTGCCTCTTTTGAAAAGTTGCAGTACAATAGAACAGAAATTACCATTAAAATAGGAAACAAATCAGTTGAGAAAGACAATCTGTAATTATTATGAAGTTTTTCAAAATTTATTGCTATTTTTAAATAGAAGCTGGTGATGATTAGAGTGTTATTTAACCTTTGATCTTATAATACTAAGAAACTGTCCCTTCAAAAATGCAACCATTGCCATCAGAATTTCAAATTCATGAGTGAGTGAATGCCAGCTTTACTAGCAATGTAGTCACTGTGTTTAATGAACATTTTGAATAGACTAGTTTGATTATCTCGCAATTTCTGATACTTATTCATTGATGTCATTCCTGACAGGACTTGTCCACTTTCATTAACAGTAAAGCAGAAGAAACTCAAATGAAATGTTATGCTTTTGGAAAGCATTGCCACCTAAATGGCCTCATGGCCATTAACTATCAAGAGAAAATACCCCCCCCCCCCCCAAAAAAGAGGAGGTAGCCTATCATTAGCTGATGTTGCCCTGAATTCATGATTTGGAGTAATCTGTTGAGACCTAGACAATGTTGAATACATTTCAATAAAACTATACAGCATACCAGTCAGGATAAAATAATTGCTTGTGCTTTTTAACTATGATTAGGTTTGACTTTGAAAGACAGGTTAAAAAAAAAACATTGGATCAATAGTTTATAAAGCAATAGTTTAAAAAGCAGAATGCTGCCTACTGCATTATCCTGCCCCAAGCTGCTATTCTCTAATAGCATTGGGATAAGAATTCCCAATCAGCAGAGCCAATCAGAATTCTACCTGACAATTCTAGAATTTCTCATGACAGCATGCTGGAAAGTCATTTGTGTGGAGAAGGCTGATATAAAAGATCTCCACGCAATGCTTATAGATGATATTGTAGACACCACTATGAATTGAGATTAAGATTATTAGAGATGTCATTGGTGCTGTCCACTTCTTATAATAGGTGGCCCTTGGTTCAGAGATGGTATTCAACAGGTTCTGACCAGTGGAAATTTTGAGTAGTTCAGAGAACCAGCAAATACCATCTCTGACTGGAGATTTTACATTATCCTTCCCCTGCCATGCCCACCAAGCCACGCCCACAGAATCGGTAGTAAAAAAATTTGAATCCCACCACTGCCTTGGTTCCATTTTTTTGTTGATTCCATTTTGTTCTTGATTTTCCTCTGAACAGCCTTAAGTATTCTTACGTTTACCATTATATTAGAAACACGTTGTGCTATGTACTAAGTTGTGTTATAGCTCTGAGCTTGTAGCATGCTCCTTGGTGTAGGTTTATATATGCTTCTTTCCGTTTCATTCAATACTGAAATTAAAATATGGGGGGGGGGGGGGGGAGAAGGAAACAGATAAAACTGAAGTGATTTTTATTGATAATAATGGACCATGAGAAGATAATTGTCAACATATTCAAAAATGCCTTTTTTCTGACTGAAGGATCATGTACTATATCAGGTTGTGAGGGAAGCAGTCTAGAGAGTATGGTGTTCATCACTTGCCTTGGACTATTTTAAATGTACTAAATAATCTGGGCCTCATTTGGCAGTGGCTGAGTACCACCATGTCATAGAGCTTAACACGGATCAAAACTTGGCCCTGGAATTTGTCTTCAGTGCCAGGCTGGAGTCACTTGTGTGGACTACAAAGTTTTGGAATGCTATGATATTCACACAACACTTACAAAAAATACACAGAGTTGGTCCAGAGAAATAGGTTTTGGTAACTATGGAGACTGTACTGGCAAAATGCCAATGAAGCGTGTTTTTTGCTGATGTATAGAATGTGATTAATGATAATAAAAGCTTTTCCAGTTATTTTATGTACTTTGATGAGAAGCAATACAAATCTGCATACATTTGATACATCTATTGAAATTTACATCCACAGATTTACCATAGACAATATGGCCAAAAATAAAATCTTGCACACTGAGAGGCCTTCCATCCTTTTCAAGTACACAGGCACATTGGCTGATGTATACAGTTCAATCTTTGAAAGCCAAATAATTAATGTTGGTAGAATTATTGTGAGAAGTAAAATGAAATCAAAATTGTTCATTTTATATTGCTGGCTGGACATTTTTAGTTATGTTGAAGCTTAAATTTGGAACTGTTAATGGACAGGGCTCACAATTCCAGAAGGTGTGGTTTGGAAACCAATTTTTCTATCCAACCAAGTCTTTCATCTTAAATTGCTATAGGCTTTCAGAACTGAGAGGAGTATTTTGGGATGAAACCAGATGTAAGAAGCCAAAAGGCTATTGTGCATGAGTGGAAGAATCTCTCCCTTCATTTAGATTTGGATAGATGTAATGTCATTTCCATTTCAGAAAACTCTGAAAACATTATAATATAGGTGAGGAAATATTGTTTATAGATAATATTTCTGTATTTGTAGTATAGAAAAAGAAATATTCATTTATAATCAGATACCATCCCTACCAAAATAAAGCTCTTTCTACAGTTATGTGGGTTCTCTGCTTGTTTACATGTGATGCTTTTTTGCCCTGTATTAACACCATTTTTAACAGCAAATTCAGCTGTCCAGGAAGGGTGTATGACACAAATCTGTAACACAATCATGGAACGCACATGAAGAAATGCATTTTGTTGGAAGGCGCATCAGAAATTTATTGCTTTCTGAATAGAAACAAGGGAAGTTGCTTATCCCAGGGGTGTATCTACCGACTCTCCATTGTTTTATACCTGATGATGTCTGGAGTTCAATAAGGACTTTTCAACCAAGCTATCATCCTGTCCTCATGTATATTTTGTAGGAAGGCTTTTCTCTTGATGTGACAGTATTTCACATACAGGTGATATTGAAATATTTTCAGATAAGTAATGTTCCATGTTTGCATTGACTTAAGCATAGCTTGGTGTTTAGCTTATATACCTCAAGTCAACAGAAATGCTGAACACCAAGTAGCCTGAACTGGATGCTTTTCATTTTGCCCTAATGTCCTTTATGGTGTAATATTTTCTTCTTCATAACATTGTAGGAATGATCAGAAAAGTCACCATTCAACGCAGCTGTTAAGCTTTTTACAGCATCACTTAAATTATATGCTTTCCTTCCACTTCCCCTTGCTTAGATGCTTTACATGGAATTTGCTTAGAATCAATTTGAGAACAAGGAAGTACAAAAAGCACCAGAAACTAATTTCCATGCAAAGCCATATCACAGTCTCCAATATGGAGACTGTAAAAGGCTGGCCTTGCATTTGTCTAAGGATATGAACAACATTGGGTGAAGGTAGGTCACTTGTCATTTGAGTAAAATATGTGCCTTGCTGTGATGCAGAATTATTTCAATCAGTGTTGGGGAATTTGAGGCTCTACAGTCATTGTTGAACTATAATTACCAGCAATCTCATGCAGCATGCTGGGAATTTGTTAGTCTGGGACACCTACAAGACCATTAATTGCCCCACCCTTGGTGCTACTTTTGCCTGTAATTCCCCATTTTTCCCTTGTAAATCTAAATTCTTGAAAGTTTACATTTGGTTTATTAAGTTTCCAAATGACTCATGAATATTAAGACTATCGGTCTATTAAGGATAATTTAGTTCATTAAATATATGAGTTCCATTGAATTAATTGATTAATGGTGCAATCCAATAAATGTAACGTAGGAACGGAATATAGTATGGCATGGAAAGTCTTTACCTTGAACTGGAAGGCTTTTTTATGTTCTTATCTCATGTTGGAGTAAATTTCATTGAATACAGTCCAGGTTATAGGGCTTTTTTTAAACATTCAGGTATTCAGGTTCATTTCTTAATAAAGTTATTTTAATTTATCAAATACGAGTCCTGGCTCTGGTAAATACAATTCTGGTGTTCCAACTATTAACAGAGAACAGAGAGG